ATTTTGTCGGTTCATTCTTGGTCTCTCAAAATTCACACCAAAAATGGCTGTTTATGGTGAGCTAGGAAGGTACCCCATTGACTGTTTTATCAAGAAACAACAACTTAAATATTTCAACCGGGTAACAAACTCTGATAATACATTACTAAGAGAAGCCTACTTAGTAAATAAGAATGTAAAAAGTTAATGGTTTACAAGTGTAGAAACCCTCATGCAAGATATTGATGTTGTCACCATTGTAAACTCAAGTGAAAAAATAATTAAGAAAAATTTAGAATTTATTCATAAAAAAATAAACAAATCATTTGAGAACCAATGGATCTTAGACATGCATAATGATAATAGAAAACAAACCTTGGCTAAAAACAAACTAAGAACATACAGACTTTTCAAACAAGATTTAAAAATTGAAAATTACCTAATTAATATGCACAACCATGGTCTTAGAAGGTTAATTGCAAAATTCAGGACAAGCAACCATGACCTTAAAATTGAGAAAGGCAGACATAATAATGTGCCGCTGGATAAAAGAACATGTGATATGTGCAGCCAAAATATAGTTGAGGATGAGCAACATTTTGTAATGAAATGTCCAGCTTACAGTCACCATAGGGACAAATTATTCCTGATTGCACAAAATATCTCGGTATCATGTCACCATAGTTGCAAACCCCAAGTAATGTACCTCTGATTAAAACTATATATACATACTCATTGATATACCACTTAAGGGTGATACATACACAATTGTACTGGCACCTTTATTAGTGTTGTGTGTGCATTCTTTATGAGATACACATGTTCAATACTACCATTCTATATTCTTATTACATACTCTAGATATACACTTTGTTGATAACAACACTGAGATTCAGCTAAATTTTACTGGTCTAACGAATTCTAGCAATAATTGCAAAAGTAACTAGAAGTCTATTATCCAAAGCTTGTTAGAAGACGTGCCCACCACACAGTATAAATATGTGAATGAGAAAAAGAATCATATTCACCTTGTCATCTTCAGTGTATTTCTCTCTTGAATCTGTGTGATGTTGAATGAAATAAGACATATTATTCTTTATGGACTGGATACGGCTTTTGCAGCCCAAGGTTGTGCGGCGGAAGCGCCCGATCTTGCGAGGGCGCGTAAGCCGTACGATCAAGGGCATGATGAAC